CCCCCCAGGGTGCTTCTGTGGCTGAGGTTTTCCCAGGGCCAGTCCGACGCCTTACTCACCATCCCACCACATTGCCTCTATTCCTCATCAGTCCGTTTGGCATTGTGCTTCCTTGCAAGGCAAGCTGTTGTGTGCATTCGTACCACATCTGTCACCTGGTTTCCTGATTCAGGCCTTCTCTGGGGTTGCACAAGACATGGAACCACAAGAGGCAGAGCGATGTGGTGGTTGACGGGTTGGACAGGGATCCAGGCGCCCAGCCACGGAAGCTCCGTGGGTGACTCTGGGCCCGTCATTCTCTTTCAGCCTTACCTACCTTGCATGGTCGTTGCAAATAAAAGTCAAAGGAACTTTCATGGCCTGGGTAAAACTTTAAACTCTCTTCTGGACAAGGTTGACAGAATATGTTGCTTATAATCAGCGCCAAGAGAGTTGATCTGTCTCCAACCTGATGCTGCTCTTGTTTCTTGGATTTCAAGTCCCATCCTGAGTAATTTCCCTGAAGTGTGTGCGTGCGCGTATGTGGGTATTTTTTCTGGCCTTCCAGGCTACAGGGGGTCTGACCTGTCACACGAGGGTGGCAGAGTTGTGCCTTGTGTGTGCCGGACACTCATGTTCTTGGTCCCCTCCTTTTTTCCTCTTTGTTTTGCAAAGGAGAATCCAAGGGTTAGCCTCACATGAAGACTGTTGTGAGGCCCAAGCATTAAATTAACCTGAACCTGCTGGAGAATCACAGCAATTCTCAAAGTTTTACTGCCAGATCTCAACAGGGTGGCCTGAAGGAGCAAAATTCAGCTCAAGGGTCTGCAAAATTTTGTATGGTCTACAAAATCTTACCATACCATCTTCTCGGTCCATAGCTGTGTCTCTGTTTGCTTGCAGGTTGCACGGCCGCTACCACGAACTGGCGCCAAACATGGTTCCCATGGATTATACCAAGAATCCAGATGTTAAACTCCCTCTGCAGCTCATTGAAAACATGCCGGAGCTAAAGGTATTGCATTGCAAGATTGGCGTAACCTTTTTTTTTTTTGCTGTTTCCCACCAGCTCAAGCCCATAAAATCTTTCAGGGGTGGGAGGTCAGGGAGGCCAAACCTGGCTGTAAAAGTCTGGCATCTTGTTTTAAAGATTTAAAGTTCTTCCGACAGGACTTCGTCATTGAGAGCGGTTAAGAATGATGTGCTCTTAAACATCTGCATGGATAACTTCCTTTAGGGATTATCGTTTTCGTGGTTTACTGACAAGCCCAAATTCTTCCTTTCCCTGTCTTTGCAGAGCAGCTGAGCATATTCTGATGGGGACGGGCCATGAGGATTTGCACGAATAGATTTAGTCTAAACCAGGGTTCCTCAACCTTAGCAGCTTTAAGATGGGTGGACTTCAACTCCCAGAATTGAAGCTGGCTGTGGAATTCTGGGAGTTGGTCCAGCCATCTTAGAGTCGCTGAGGTTGAGGAACCCTAGTCTAAACCATTTGTCCTAAATTGATGTTTTTATTGCACGGCAAGCATGTTGCACATCTGTTTTTCAGTGGAGTGTCTGTTTTCTGCTAATTGAAAATTCTTTTTCGTCAGCCTATTCAGACTATGACCCTATTCTGCTTTGGGAATATTCCTTTTTCACTTTCTCCCTTCCCCTCCATACTGGCCACACTTGCGCAAGGTAACCCTTGGCCACGTCTAGTACTTTCTATCCAGCCATGCTGCTTAGCGACTTTGACCTGTTCTCACCCCTAAGGGGGATTAGTTTACACCATATCTATAGCCCTGTAACTTCATATATTCACAGAGGGTTCAACAACAGGGAACAGGAGACCGGAATGTAAATTCTTGGATTGAGTTGACCTAAAAAGCAGAAGAATCAATGTCAATGCTAATGTATTCTAGAAAACGTGTGTGTGTGTGTGTGTGTATTTGGGGGGAACAATATGATCTTTTGCCTTTGGGGTGAGGTAAGGTAAGCTGATACAGAAGTGATATCAGCATTGCATCGACTGGTGTGTGTGGGGGTGCGTGTGTGAAAGTAAAGGGGTGTGTGTAAATGTCTTGCTGTGGTACTGATTTGCAGAGTGGATATGGCATCTTATGTGTGTGTGTGTGTGTGCGCGCACATACATACAGCAAAGAGACGAGAGAAAACAAATTCTGTGGATAATTAACCTGTAGAATTCATCTCCCCAAGACCTAGCGATGGCCATTAACTCGGATGCCTTTAGAAGGGGAATGGATACGTTTGGGGAAGATAGACCTCTCAGTGAAGTCACAATACTGCCTGCAGGTTGAGGCAGCACATCTGTTGCAGAGGAACAATGGTGGGAGTGGGGTGTGTCTCCATCTCCTGCTTGTGAATGTCCCAGAGGCCATTTGCTTGGCCATGATGAGAAACCAAAGTTGGACTGAGATGGGCCTATGTTGAACCAAAGAGCATCTTGAAGATATGATCTAGCAGATTAGATAGATGCACCATATGAAACTAAAGAAAGGAGAGAGAGAGAACGTATTCGAACAGTAAATAGTTAAAAGGGACAGTATCATACGATGGGGCAATGTTTCTCAACCTTGGCAGCTTGAAGATGTGCGGACTTCAACTCCCAGAATTCCCCAGCCAGAATTCTGG